GGAGGGTCAGTGCTGAGGGAGCGCCGCACTGTCGGAGGGTCAGTACTGAGGGAGTGCCGCACAGTTGGAAGTGCTGTCTTTCAGTTGGCATGTTAAAATCCCTCTGCCCTCTTTATTCTACATTTAATAAAACCTCCAATGGATACTATCTGTAAGCAGAGCATGGAAGATCTCCTCTATTGGTAATCAATGATCATCCCTCAATCAACGACAAAACTCTGTTCAAAATCAGCATTCTGTTACTTATGGGATCTCGCTGTGCTTAAATTGACTGCCACGTGTCCCATAGTCCAACATAATGACCAGCCTTGCATCGGCCGTGAAACCCTTTGGGGCGCCCTGTGGACGGGACAGATGTTATACAAATGCAAGTTCCAGCTTCAGATGACGATGGGGTCTGGATTTGGGAATTATAATTGAAGGACACAGGATGCTGGAATGGGGTATGAGTTCTGGGGAGGAATGCTTCCGGAGCTAAAATAGACAAAGGAAATGGCTTGAGGGTAGGGGCTGTCATTTGAAGCTTGAATAACTTAAATGTGAGGGGGGATCAGCGTGACTGATGCACAAGGTGCCTGACCCAGGATTTTCAGCTGTGGTGTGATGCCCACTGCAGTCTGATAGCTGGGAGCTGGTTGTCCTGGTACCTGTTGAACAAGCAGCGAGTGTGAGTGAGTGAGTGACGGAGGCGCACACACACACACACACACACAGAGTCCAGCCCTAAAAGAGCGGCGCCGCCCTCCGTGCCCGAGCAGCCGCTTCTCCCTCACTGTGCAGCGGCTGGAGAGCGCAGAGCGCCCCGGCTCCTGGGCGCACGGAGGGTGGCGAGCAGGGGGAGACCGAGCCCGCTACAGACCCGGCGAGCATGGCTCAGCAGAGATGAGCGGCCAACAGGACGGGATCAGCCTGTGCGAGAAAGCTCTGCACATCGTGACCGAGCTCTGCTTCAGGGGGCTGGTGGAGCAGAAGAAATGTTACGAATTCATCTTCAGCGGAGAGCGCAGGAAGAGCGGAATCAGCGGAGCAGGTAAACCGGGGAGAAGAGAGGCGAAGAGTGTGGGGAACGAAAGGGGGACAGAGAGAGAATGGGAAAGGGAGAAGAGGAAGAGTGTGGGGAAAGGGGGGGGACAGAGTGAGAATGGGAAACGGAGAAGAGGAAAAGTGTGGGGAAAGGGGGGGGGACAGAGTGAGAATGGGAAACGGAGAAGAGGAAAAGTGTGGGGAAAGGGGGGGGACAGAGAGAGAATGGGAAAGGGAGAAGGGGAAGAGAGAGAATGGGAAAGGAAGAAGGAGAGTGTGGGGAAAGAAGGGGGGACAGAGAGAGAATGGGAAAGGGAAAAGGGGAAGAGAGAGAATGGGAAAGGAAGAAGAAGGAGAGTGTGGGGAAAGAAGGGGGGACAGAGAGAGAATGGGAAAGGAAGAAGAAGGAGAGTGTGGGGAAAGAAGGGGGGACAGAGAGAGAATGGGAAAGGGAAAAGGGGAAGAGAGAGAATGGGAAAGGAAGAAGAAGGAGAGCGTGGGGAAAGAAGGGGGGACAGAGAGAGAATGGGAAAGGGAGAAGAGGAAGAGTGTGGGGAAAGACGGGGGGACAGTGGAGAAGGGGCAGGGGAGAGAGAAGAAGGCAAGAGAGGGGGAGAGAGTGTGTGGGGAAGAGAAAGGGTGAGAGGTTGGGAGAGAATGAAAGAAGGGAGAAATGGGGAAAGAAGAGAAGGGGAGAGGGTTGGGAAGAAGAAGGAGAGAAAGAAAGAATATGGGAAGGAGGGACAGGGTAAGATCAAGTCCAAGGAGAGGGCACTGGGTTGGACAGGGAAGAGGAGAGATGGACCAGCAGAAAGATGGAATGATGAAGGACAGAGAGGAAAAAAGAGGAAAGAATAAGAGTTGATTGGGTGGAGAATGGGGGTGGATGGTGGAAAAGGATGAACCAGGGGCTCAGTACAGATGTTGTGGAGGGAAAGCCAGCAGAGTTTACTGGAGCAGTACACTTGTTGCTTAGGCTGAAGTGAGCGAGGTCAGGAGCTGCTTCTCTGGAACTTCTCCACAGGGTTTGCAAAAACTCAGCCCAGGAGTCCAATCCTTAAATACACAGTCTAAGTAACGTGAATATTCAGAACAGAAAACAGCTTGGTGGGAATGTCGCTTTGGGTTTTGGGCTTGTAAGTGAAGGTGAATTAATAATTAAAGTGCGTTTGTAGAATTGGATAAATATAAAACGCCCAAATATACTGAGTGCTGGTGGTTGTGAAGTCCTAACCTGAAATGATATATTAACCACTGAGTCTGCATTGAATTTCATTTGATTTCACTTGATTGCTAGCACATGTCAACAGCAGAACACTGCCTCTTTCCCAGATATCTGTCCTTGGAACTATTCTGGAACTTCAAACCCTCATTCCTTCTAGCCTCCTCCTTTGCTCCCAGCTCCCTGCCTGGTTCTCATTCACAAAACAGTCTGAGAGAATTTCATTCATTGTTTTAGTTCTGAGTGCTGGCCCTAATTTTCATCCCTCTATTACTCTGCCGTGTACTTCTTTCTTTCTTTCTCTCCTGTTTATTCCTCACACACTCTCTCTGAATTTTATTTCTTTTCTCTACATATCTCTGTCATCATTGTTTAAACCTTATCTCTGTATGTTTCTGAAATTCCTTGTGAAAATGTTGTCAAGGCATCTCAGTCACCTTAAATACATTAACTGTGAGACATGACTGGGATAGTAAAAGTATTAATAAACATAATTTCTGGATTTTTTCACTTTATCATAACTCTTATGTATATGTCAAAAGCATGTTGCAGGACATAAACATAATCATAATCTGTAAACATCTTTGTTCAATAAATGGATCCAAAGCTGTGTATAATTACCATTTCAGTGATTTTCTAATTATTATCTCAGTGCTTTCCAAATCTGTACATGCTGTTTCTTGTACATTTAATTGTTGCAGTGTTACTTAGTGTTGCAGGGTTGTGGCAGAATACACTTATAAAGTACAGAAATGTCAGTGTTATTTGAAAATAGTCAGTCATTAGAAAGAAAGAAGTTGCTTTGATGTTGCACTTTGTGACTCATAAACAGTAGCATGAAGCCATTGGACTGAATTGCCTACGAGTTATATGCAATGTCCTTATTCTCAAGATGTCCAGATACATTCTGCAGCCAGTGAAGTGTTTTTGCTATTGTTTTATGTGGCTGCCCATTTGGACACTGGATCTCACAAACAGAAAGTAGATTATGACTAGATAATCTGTTTCAATGATCCTGGCTGACAGCCATTTCCAGGAATAACTCCTGCAGTCTTTTCTTCGAATAGTTACACCCACCTAACAATGCAGTAAAAGGTCCGTGATATACCATCAGTTCCAACAGAAAGCACCTCTGTCAGTACAGCAGTCTCTCAGTCCTGCATTGGAGTTTCGGCCGAGATTATTGTCGGAAATCTGTAGGATATAAACTTTTGATCTTCTTACTCGGAAATGCTATCATTTAGATAGAGTGCTATCACCAAGACGGAGACTGTGTTTAATGCCTTGTGACTTTTGCTGCATTAATACTTTAACAATGTCATGATTTTAAAAAAACTTCCTTCCAAGAGATCATAATTTTAAAAGTGAGGTAAATTCACCAGGTATTTTATTCAAGTTAATTGAATAGCAATTAATGGTTTATTGTATGTAACAAAAACCGACCCAAATACTGTGGCAACAGAAACAGGTTGGAAGCTGGCAATTCTACAGCAAGTAACTCACTTTTTCTGTCTTACCAAAGCCTCTCCACCATCGACCAGGCACAGGTCAATGGAGTGTGATGGAATACTGTCCACTTGCCTAGATGAGTGCAGCCCCAACAATATTGATGAAGCTTAATACTATCCAGGACAGAGCAACCTCTTGATTGGCCCCTCATCCATCACCATCAACATTCGATCCCTCTCCCACCCATGCTCATATACAAGATGCACAGCAGAAATTCATCAAGGCTACTTCAACAGCACCTTCCAAACCTTCTGTCCGAGAAGCACAAGGATACATAGGAACACCCCCACCTGCAAGATTTCCTCTGACTGTCCTGACTTGGAAATACATCACTTCATATCATTCCATCATTATCACTGGGTTAAAGTCTTGGAACTCCCTCCATAACAGCATTGTGTGTATGCCTACAGCAAATGGACTGCAGTGATTAAGAAGGCCATTCACCACCACTTTCGTAATGGGCTATAAGAGCTGGTCCAGCCAGCAACACCCACATCTCATGGGACAATGAAAAAGATCTGGTCTCACACTGGGCTGACTAGTTTGTAGATAAGTGTATAATTGGCCAGTGCTATGCCATTGTCACATTATTTTAGCTTCATGTTCTCATTTCTTATAAAGTTCTTATAAAGTGCCTCTTGCACAATGCAGGTATAATTACTTTGCAAATATGTGAAACATAAGAAAAGGGGGAAGATATTCAGTCCCTTGAACATTCAATAAGGTCACAGTTGATCTGTACCTTAACTCCACCTATCTACATTGATTTCATACCCCTTAATCCCCTTGCCTTTCCATCCACTTTTGGAGAAGAATCAACTTGAAACATTAACTCTCTTTCTCTCTCCACAGATGCTGCCAGAGTTTTGAGTTTCCCCATCATTTTCTGTTGTTATTTCAGATTTCCAACATCCACAGTATTTTGTTCTTATTAAAAATCTATCCCTTGTGAAGGGCACAGTTGACCTACAGCGTCAGCAGCTACTTTGGACAGAGAGGAAGAATTTCAGTTTCACCCCCTGTGTGAAGAAATGCTTCTCAATGTCATTAGACTTATCGAGCTCTAAGGCTTATGCATCTTGGTTCCAGACTTAACCCCCTCCACTCTCTTCTCCATCATGTGTGCAAATTAAGGTCCCTCAGTAAGTCCAGTCAAATGGAGGGAAGGTGAAGGGTGTCCTTTGGAAATGGCATGGGAGAGGGGAGGGGAGAGAGAGTCATCACAACCTTAGAGAGGATTTACTAGACTAAGTTTCTTAAAGACTGCAGAATCTGAGAACATTTAGGGTAAGGAAGAGAATGGAGATGATCAAAATGAAAGGTTTGGACAGAGTGAAGGAGGACAAACTGTTACCAATGGCAGGAAGGACAGTAACCAGAGGGGCACAGATTTATGATTGACAAAAGAACCAAAGTGGGGGAATGAGTATTATTTAACACACCAGGTTGTTATGACCTAGAATACGTTGCTGAAAGACTGCATGGAATCAGATTCGTAAGGAGTTTTTAAAATGGAAATTGGAAAAATGCTTGCAGTGAAGAAAACTATTGGACTAAAGGGGAAGAAGTGAGGGTGGGATTAATTTAGACAGCAGCTTTTTCAAAGCTGTGACCCAGACGCGATGGAACAATATCTATGGAATAAAGGGTTAGCTGTACCTTTATTCTGGGGATAACGTACATATGGAGCTATATCATCATGTAAGATCTCATTGAACTGGGACCTAATTATGTAGGGAGATGTTCTTTTTTAACTCTCTCCTGTAAATAGTACAGATACTTAATGAAGTTCATTGAAAATCACTGATGTGTGTCCGTATGTGATGCAGATCCCTTTCAGAGTCAACCAGAACAACTCCAGAGTTCTTTGAGAGGAGATGATGTTGATAATATTTTGATTGAAGAGTTTGTCCTGGAGTGTGCCCTGGCATTCCATTGTATCATTGGGTGCTGGATGGTGGAGGGCTCTCTACATGGGAGTCCTCCTGCTTTCCACTGGGGTCCTGGAGTGGAAGGTGTTGCATGCAGTAGTCCTTTGCAATGTGTTGAGATGGTTTGCTGAGTCCAAACCCAGCTGTTTATAATGTGGTTCTGTGGAGTCCATGGACCATGTTAGTTGTGGGTGGTTGCACCCCTGTTTAATTTTCTTCAAATATTTTGTGGTTTTTTTGGTTGCACACCAGCCCCATGATCCTGGCACCCAGGGGATGGGCAGTTTGGAGGGACCTCTCATGTGCCTGCTCTTGAGCTTAACTAAAGTAGCTATCAACGGGTCC